TTTAAGTTTATAGGAGAAAAAACTCATTTACCATTCATGATGTCGGGCATTAGCGTGACAAAAGAATTAATAGCTTGAGCATCTAGTTTAAAAGTACACTAGATTCCTAACCACTTAAAAAATATAGGAAGTTACAATAAAAATAAAAATAGTAACTTTCTGCATATGCTAACATGCTAAAATACGAAGTTAATTTTAAAAACAATTTGATGAAATATTTGGGACGTGTTTAGAAATAAAAGAGGACGGACTTTGGGGTTATACGCTAATACTAGTGTGAAAGAAAACTAGAAATATGATTTTTTATGAATTTAATTTTAAAAAAACACCAAATATATAACCCACTTAGAATAGAAATATAACAAGTTATAGTACAACGATTTACATTGTTTGCCAAATTGTTAAAATAAAAGTCAGTTCAAAGTTAAACTGATGATTGCATCTAAGAGTGATTTTGAAATGAGTGGGTTTAAAAATAAATGCGGCTAAAATGTTTAGATTTTTTTAATTAAGATAGTGACTTACACCATATATCAAAGTAATGAAATATAAAGTTAATTTGAAATTAATTCAGAGAAGTATTTTGACAACAAGAGTGATTTTCAGAGTGGGTGGGTTTTAAAAATAATTGGAGGTAAAACTTTGAGTTTACAAGTAAAAAAACTTTATTTATAATTTGTGACATAGCCTCAACGCTATGTGGAAGTAGATCGATTGCCCTACATAGACAACTACATAGAGGATCTCTGCAAACAAATCTATAAAGAAGTTTCAAAAATTGAATTGAAGTAGTTCGGTCGCACTCGAACAATAATATTCAAGAGGAAAATGTACCTATGATCAAATATTTCAAGTTAGCTTCCATGAAAACTTCAAACAACCCTTCTTGAAAGCACGAAAAGAGGTAGATGATTGGTCTGCTATGCTACATAGGATGACCTTGATTTGGCAGATTCATCCAAGTGAACACTACATAGAACTAGTACTAGATAGTATAACTCTTTTTCCTACCAGAAAGGATGATGATGAATAGGCTCTAGCATAGAGGCTTCTTCTATAGCAAAGACTAAGTGATTGATCTCATTATGGCTAAGTCAAGGCTTGTTTGATTCTAATATAGGTTTGGGTGCTCATGCTCCTCTTTTATGGGATGTTCCTTGAAATCATAAAAATTGGGGCACTTTACCACCTTTTCTTTTCTTTGAAACATTCCTTTTTTTTATTGAGCCAAATAACAATGTCACAAGCTATAGTGCATCAAAGGAGAAGGCCTTCTTTTAAAAATGTCTAAATTGCAGTTAAATGCCATATAGTTTCACCAACCTACACTTTAATGCCCTCTATTTTAAAACCATGCACTTAAAAAAACACCACAAACTATTTAAACAATGTAGATAAATGTCTCAAACTTTCAAAATATGGCATGGTGGTGCCCTCTTGTTTACCTAATGTTGCACATTAGTACCCTATTGTTTACCCAATGTTTCATATGAATACCCTCAATTTATAAATAACCAAACACTCTAAAGTTTCTACAAGTTTTGGTTTAGTACCACATAATATATGGTATTATTGGATACGTAGAAAAAAGTTAACATCATTTGTGTTTTTTTAACTACTAGGTTTTATACACGTACAATGCACATGGTTAAATACCATGATTAAGTATTTTAAGATTACTTTCTAACTAAAATTTGTTTCTCAGTCCCACTTTAATAGTTTATTTCTTTTGTCTCTAAACTTTTATATTGTGATTATTTATTTTCTTTGATGTTTGTTTAAATGGACTACACCCAATTTAAATTTTCATGTTGATATTTGAATTGATAGAAAACAAATATAATTTGAAACTAATTTAAATTTTTATATCATTTTTACTGACATGAAACCAACCTGTACTTGAGAAAGTACAATGTTATAAAAGTGAAAAATATTAAAATAATGTTATACAAGTAAGATGAATATTTAAAATCAATAAGTCAAAATGATTGGTTAAAAATATGCTAAAACGATACAAAAGAGAATATGAAGTTTGTTCCTAATCATTGATAGACTTCATAAAAAAATTATAAATTAAATATTAATGCTAACTCTAGTATACTTTCATATGATAAAAGCATCTGCACAAGCATAAAAAAGTACTAAAAAAGATCATGAAACTCCCTTCTGAAAGTTCTTAAATTCACTCCAAATAATTAAATTATTCTATAAAATATTCATAAAATATTATCTTTTATTCCTTATATTTTATTTTTTTTATTGAGCTAAGATCAATCATTCCTCACCTTTATCTTTTTCTCGGATAATTCTAGAGTAGTGTCTTTATCATCTACTCGATTGTGATATCAGGCTAGAGTTGTATATTTTTGTGTTGTTATCTTTCGTGGGCTCGTTAATCTTTTATCTTGTCATTTAACTTCACAAAGAAGTTAAATGTATTTTCAATGTTCAACACAAACTTCTTAAAATACAGAATTTGATTTTTTTTTTATTTCAATGAGAATCAATATTAATATCATATATATAAAATTCTTTATGTTTCTAATTTATTACTTAAATAAGATTAAGAGTTACCTCTTTTTTCTCTATAATGAATTCTTCCGATATGCATTCAATAAGAGTTTCCGTTACGTCAATAATATTACATTTGCTCTAGCCTTATCATTTTCTATAAAGATCTAAACTAAATACCTATATTTTTTATTGCCATTTTTTTTAGATTATAATATTAATATTTATTTTCTTTAGTATTTAAAGAACAAAGTATAAAATTTATGAATGCTTACTAATTTTTCTTATATCTTCTATAGAGAATTTTTCTTTGATTGAGATAAAGCTATTAAATTATTTTCTAATGTAACTTAGTTGGTGCTTTTTTAATAGAC